AATGTTTCAGCTTTGTATCCAAAATTAGTAGTTTTGCATTCACTTCAAAAATAAGACTGCTTCAGACATTAGTCACTGCACAATGGCATCATTGTAAAGGAAGTGGTGCAGATACTTCCAAAAGAACTAGAACTCCAAAAATACTTGTTTTGGGTTAGCCCAAGTCATGGGTTTGGCCAATGGAAAAGTGTGGAAATATTTGCCAAACATTGCAGGGAAAATTGAAAATTTTGCAGAAAATTGCAGGGAGTTGATTAGTGCTATGGAGGTACATTTTACTGCCAACTTATATTTTTTCACTTTATTGATCAAAACATTAGGAAATAATACATATTAGATTGTTGCAAAAAATATTAATTGCTTCTTTAATAAAAACTGTGTGGCCCATTTTTGGGGGGACGGAATACCAGCAAGGCTACAGGAACACTAACACCCAGAGAGAGAGACACACACACACACACTCTCAGAGGGGGAGAGAGACACATACACTCAGACACAAAGAGACATACACACAAACATACAGGAAAGATGCACACAGACACTCACATAGAGACACTCAAACAGAGGGAGAGACTCACAAATACACAGAGACACACACACTCACATAGAGACATTCACAAACACAGAGAGACACACAGACAATCACAACACTGGGGCCTCAGAGCGAAGCCCTTTTCCCGCTTGCGTCGCACCACACATGCATGTCCGGAGTCACCCCACCCACAGTTGCATTGAGGAAACAGCCCGAAGCCCGCGGTCCAGAAACTACATTTTTAGTGGGTTTGCAGTGGAGGAGGTTAACTTGCCTCAGGTTTCGCCTTGCCCGGAAATCAAACCCAAGTCCTCTCTCTTGCGAGGTCTCTAACCAATACGTTACAGGACTGTAGCAGAGAATTCCACCTTCCCACCACTCTATAAAAAAGTTCCTCCTAACCTCCATTCTCACATTTTATAACATTGCTTGCATTTTGATATTTCATTGTAAATTAGTTGGGTGGAGCTGGCGAGGAGAAAGATGAAAACGAAAAAGGGGTATACACAACCATAGAAAAAAAATTGCTAACCCAAATTTGCAATGGTAACTAAATAACTAACTGTTACAAAATCCAAAAAAAAAATTATGCCTCTTGAAAAGATTATAAATGTTTTTTTAAATTGAGGGGAACAAAAATAACTTTGTATAAATTCCTTTTTAAAAATAAATCACCTTCTGGGACCAAGGTCTCAGTCCAGTTCAGATTGATCAGATTAATGTCTAAAGCCTATTATCAGTTTGCCCTAAGGATCCAGTGCAATGAGTTTGTGCAGTCTTATTTGTTTGGACAAACCTGCTTTTAATTTGTCAATCTCACTCAGACAGGCCACAGAATAGCTGGTATTGGAAATAAATATAGCCAACGAAAGGAACCGTGCATTGCTGAAATTAGGGCATGTTTGGGAACAATGAAGGAATATTACTCTAGAATACTGGTAGTCAACCTCTTTGGTCAGCCAGCAAAATATATTTTCTTGAGATATTTCTTAGTTGATGCCATATATCAAGAAAATTCAATCAAGAAAAAATGGAAATACATTGATTGATAGAACACACTTACTAGTGTAAATGTTTGGGGGGTAGGGGGTACTTCTTGACAGTCATGGGTTGGCGACCACTGTCCCAGAACTGCTAAACATGACCAAGGATAACCTGGTACAGACACTGGTGGCACCAAAAATGGAAAAGTGGTCCACATTCTAAGCTTTCATTCTGATGAACATAAACCCCACCGGAGTTTGATGGGCAAGAGAAACCATTACCAGTAATAAGTCAGTCTGATTCAGTTGGTACCACACTCATCTGAGACAAAAGGATTTGATTCTAATCCAGTGTCACAGACTTGGAGCATGTCAGGGGTGACTGAGATCTCACTTTGACCTTAAAAAACACACTATTCCAAAAAGAAAACAAAATTACTCTCAGTGTCTTGGCCAACAATCCTCCAGTTAAATTGTTTATTCATCTCCTGGTTGTTTTGCAGGACATTGCTGCGCACAAATTGGCTGCTGTATTTTAGCTACAAAGTCAATACATTTTGCAGAAAATCTGAAGTGCTCTGAATAATTCAGGGTGGTAAGGCTCTATATCAAAAAATTTTTAAATTATAAGATGGTATTCAGGAAAATCACCACCAGAAATAGAACACTCAGATGACTTTTTCTTTACACTATAAACAGTATTTAGTAATGTTTGATATAAAAAGTTAATGTTTCTTTCCATTAATGCTATAGCTTTCTCTCACTAGCAAAAACTAAATGCAATGTGCCCATCAAATATTCATAGTAGCTGAACATTTAACTTTCTGTTCTACTTATTATAATAATCCTTGGATTTGATAAAACGGATCATCAAGTTGAAATGTTTCAAAGCAGTTTTCTGTAATAATAATAATAATAATAATCCTTGCATTTGATATAGCGCTTTTCACGTCGGGAGGACGTCCCAAAGCGCTTCACAGATCACACTGTAAAGTGAATTGACTGTATATTTGTGGGCGAACGCGGCAGCCAATTGCGCACAGCAATGTCCCACAAACAGTCGTAGATTGAAAATGACCAATTTATTATTGTTTTTGGTTTTGGAGGGATTATTATTAGGCTCTGTGTGGAGTAAGGAAACTTGCCCAAGGTTTCGCCCTGCCTGGAATTGAACTCAGGTCTCTCGCTTGCAAAGCGAGTGCTCTAACCACTGAGCTACAGGACTCCACAAGGCGTGTAAGGTGTGACAATTCAAATTCTAAACAACCATGCTCACCGAGGCACCATAGATATCCACTGGTCAATACTCCTATTTCAACGATCAAAGCATATTTGCTTTGGGTCAAATCTGAACACTATGAATATCTTGGGTCACTACCAATGTTTGCACAGCAATGGAGAATCATTACTAAGTCACTCTCCTGGGAGATAGAAACTGGATCTTTCTTTGTAGATAACTACTGCATTATTTACTCAATTCTTCAAATATATATGTGAAGCGTTCTGATTGCTATGAAAAGAACAGCTTTCTTTTTTCATTAGATGTACAATTGCTGCACCTTAGGTAGCATACCCCAATAATTGTTGTAACTTATGAAAAACAATTTCATTCATTTAAATTGCAATACGAATAAAACCACTCGTAAATATGTATTGTGAATTCAGAGTGCATCTTACTTCCAACATAAACATTTTCTACCTTACACTAAACTAATCAAAACAACTGCTATTTATTCAATGACTTATGTACAACAGCAGAGATGTATAACATTTTCTATGAAACTATAAACTATGAAAGGAATTACGCTACCCCTGGATAAAATAGGAACATCTTAATAAACTGAAATGCTGCACATTTGCAAATCCATTTTCAGAAACAGTCAACACTGTATTTATAACAATGCAGTATTATGAAAGATCATTTTTCAGTACAATCATCAGTAAGAATATATCTAGCACACTGGAAGGCAATTATAGCAGTTATCGAGCACGTTAATTAAAAATGTTCATCAATCTTTTTGTTAGTATACATCGTTCATATCACTGATCCAATGCCAATTATACTACTTTTTAAGCTACAGGAATTGAAATTGTAAATATGTACTAAAACCTTCTGAAGTAAAACAGCATAAAATATTCCACCATCTCAACATAGTAGGAAAAATATTTAATCACAACTAGACATACTTTTGACTGAATCTGCAGTAAGACACGCAACAGAAATGCTTCTAACCATAAAAGGAATTCCACTGTACATTGATATGTGGACATAAAATCATTAAATTGTTCTTACCAAAATAAAATATTATGTTCAGCACATACCTCATCTAGTTCAATAACTAAGCATTCAAATTGGTGGTGCCCGAGACGGTTAACTAGAAGCACGTAGCATTTCACATGATGGTAAAGAACTAGCTTTGTTAAATCTTCTTGGAAGCAGACTGTCAGAATTCATAAACGTCAATGTATACGTATTCAAATCAAATTTCACCAGTCTTTACAGACTTTTAAAATAATCCCAAATACCAGACCAAAACAGATCTCATTCAGATCCAAAGTAAATTTCGACAATAACTTTACTCTCCACAACACTCATCCTTCCAAGGTTCATCTAAATGGATTAATTTCAACTCAGTTCACTACACATGAAAATCTGGCTAAATTTTTTGCAACCTTCTCCCCATCTTTAAATGTTCCATCATGAATATTACAACCTTTTTAAAAGATTTTTTGGCTAGAATTTATCAGCTTCTGTAATTAAATAAAATGAGGTTTGAATCATTTAAAAATATTGCCGCGGGGGGGGGGAGAGGCATCTGTTGGCCATCCAGTCTGACATGCTGAAAACCAGGCTTAAGAGTATACACACCAGTCAGAGGTGCACATTTGCTCATCACTGATAGATAGAAATTTGTCTAGAATGGAAAGTGCACCCTCTCCCTGGAGGACCTCACCCTGCTTACATAATTTCAGAAAGTATTTGGCACAGTTTAGCAGCATCCAAGGCTTGCAAATCCAAGAGTCTAAAATGGGCGTACTGCTGCAGATTAACCAGCTAATACCAGAGCACTGTCTGGCAAATTAGCCCATCTAGGATCACCCTAAGCTTCAGCACTTTGGCTTGGGGGGCTTAAATGAAGCCAAAGGGGAAGATTCCTGCCCCCAGCAACTTGCCCCTCCAAGTCCTGCCAACTAGACAGGCTGGCTGGTCTGTCATTAATTGTGCCTTGGAGTACTGCAGACCCACTTGGCTCAGGAATCAGACAACTGAATCCACTAAAAAGAAACAACTCTAGTCCAATTGGCAGGCACCTCATCTTGAAGCCAACTCAGCCACAAGGAGATCCCACTTATCTCCTCCCCTTCCCACCATGGAGGACAGTCAGTAGTCAGTCATTGGCTATTAAACAAGTTTCATCCCTCACCTAGTGGATAGTAGGTACGAGGAACTCCTTGTGAGCCTCTCGGTGAAAAGCACAACTCACCTTGAAATATGTGAGACCACTGCCATTATTCTTCTGTCCTCAGCTCAGACAAATATCCCTATCCATTGAATGATGATTCCACCAGGTGGAAGTCTCTGCAAACCAATCCAAATAGACCCAAAGCCCCACAGGCTTGTGTTCACAAACTCAGACACCAGGTTACAGACTTTGATCAGCTGTCATCCAAAGCCTCAGTTTCCTCATCAGTTATTCAAGGGACATCTGCTTTCATTGTTCCTTACCATCCACCTTGAAAAGCTACAGAGGAGTGGAGTGTCACCATATATTCAAGACAATGCTAACTTATATGTGGTGAAGGGCATTATGAACACACAAATTATAGGTAAAAATAACTAATCATGAAATATATAGCAATCAGTTTCTTAGACCTTTTTTTCTTAGGTTTTAATAGGAATATTTGATTATTTGATATAAAAATTTACAATTTTGATGGAACTATTCCATGTAATTCAGATTTAAGATTATTTTAGAGATCTAAAATTGATACTGCAGTGTCACAATTACAAAACAGACTAAATGAAAAGGAGGAGTTTAAATTGCTAGTAATGTAACGTGTTTGAAGGAGTTCATTTAAGTGACAGGATTTTTTTTTAAAAAAATCAGTTCAAAACAAATACAAAGCTCCAGGATAGCAACCTTTAAGCAGCTTTACATAAATTTCCTCAATTTATAAAAAAATATTCAAACTGAATCAGGAGTTAAAACATTAACAAACTGTATCAGGCTTGTATGCAATGCGATAACGGCAGCCAAATTGTTTTTTCAGGGGAAGGGGAAGCAGTAGTTTGGGAGAATCTAGCTAAAGAAATGACAGACAGTAATGTTTCTTTTAAAAGTATCTTTGTTATGCTCTACAGAAGGCAGACTGTCAGAACTAATCACTATCATCAGATGATAGGAGAGCTTTTTTCATTAAATATTCCGAAACACCACCATCAGAATTTACAAATCCATTAATGGCTAGCACTTAAACTGAGGAATCTCCAAGAAAGATCAAATGTTTCAAAATTACTCATATTTCCTCAAAAATCATAAACAAGATAATAATTTAGCTAAGATTTTACCTTTTTTAATACAAAGTACACCAGGCAGATCCCTTCCTAGCATAAATTTAGTACATATACCTTTCTAAAATTTAAAACTAGGTAGCTTGAAAAAAACTTGCTGCTTCTGTACTCATAATATAATAATCCTTCCATTTGATATACATCTTATCGCGTCTTCGAAACTGCCAAAGCACTTCACAGAATATACTGTAAAGTGAATTGACTGTATACTTTTGGGGCGAAATGCGGCAGCCAATTGCGTACAGTAATATCTCACAAACAGTCGTAGATTGGGTGACCAAATTATTATACCACATCACCAATGGCACTTTTTGTAAAAAAAAGTCAGTTTACCTATTTGTCTCTATAACAAGTTATTTGGAAGGTGAAATTCCTTTCGCCCTCTCCACAAATAGCCTCTCACCCGTCCCCCCCATTATCACTGAAGCTTTGAATGTATGGAAATATAAGGAGCAACATAGCGGCAATAAATAGTTCTCATTTCTCTGAAATCAGCTCAGCTAACAAATGTATTTTCCTTTAATCTATTCCAATCAGATAAAATATATTAAGCAATTGAGAATTAGATTCAGATCCACTGCAGCAGACTGCGACTATTTTGTTGTTAAATCAAGAACCAAATTGCGCACAGTATGACCCTCCAAAAAGTCATGAGGTGAGTAACTACTTAATTGGCTCCTGGTCTTTCAGGAGACCGATTTCAAAGTCCTCTCCCTCATCTGCTAATCCCTAGAACCTCCCCATCTCCACTATAAGACACTATCCTGCATGAAGGGTCGTACATAAATACAAATTGTTGCATTTCTCTGACCTCTCCTACCCCACTCCTTCCTTCCCTCGACTCTTCCGTCTCACCCCTCCGTCTTCAAGTTCTGCCTTAAAACCTACCTCTGACTAATGGTCAACTCCCCTTGCCCCTCCTCTCACCTGTTCAGCATCTGTCCCCACCACTGTACTCCAAGACATTATTCTAAATGCAAGATATTGTTAATTTGTAGGATTTTTACAGCAGCTACCTTTACGTGGGCAAGTACATTCCAAAATAAAATGTACATTTGTATCTTTCTTGAATATAATATGTTATGGTTATTTCCTACCAAAACCAAATTATAGTGATTGTATTCACAGCTGTAAGAAAGAAATTGGTAAACTATGGACATTAGATTATAGGAAATAGTGTTTTTGTTCGAACTCAAAAGTACTGCTGAAACATTTTCTAGCAGTCGGACATAGTTTACCAATTTTTTTTAATATATACATGACAAATGCATACTTGCCATAGACTAGGAATGTCATGTTGGACTACACTTTTTGGTTTGCTGTTGCTTCCTCTTCGACCGTGCCTTCTGCCACTCTCCCACTCATGCCCACCTGCCCACCACTCCTGACCTCAACTCCCAGCTCAGGTCCAAAAATCCCCGATTATAATAATAATAATTTTTGCATTTGATATAGCGCTTTCCACGTCGGGAGGACGTCCCAAAGCGCTTCACAGAACACACTGTAAAGTGAATTGACTGTATATTTGTGGGCGAACGCGGCAGCCAATTGCGCACAGCAATGTCCCACAAACAGTCTTAGATTGAAAATGACCAATTTATTATTGTTTTTGGAGGGATTATTATTAGGCGTGTGGAGTAAGGAAACTTGCCCAAGCTTTCACCCTGCCTGGAATTGAACTCAGGTCTCTCGCTTGCAAAGCGAGTGCTCTAACCACTGAGCTACAGGACTCCACAGATTATCCAGTGCGTGGGACAGCCTTCTTGTGTGAAGGGTACTATACAAGTGTAATTTGTGGTTGTTGTTAGGCTCAAAATATTGCTGATCTCATGGTTTGATTTTTTAATCTAAAATATCTAAAAAATTCTTTAACTAATAAAGTAATAAGTTAAGCAATTTAAGATTTAATCCATACATATAACTTGTTCCGTGTCAATTGTATTATATATTTAGAAGCCCAGAATGTCAACTGATCATTTGTTTGAACTTGGATGAGATCTTCCATAACTTAGACAAATTGGCTCGATACCAACACTTACCCATCTTCTGACAATATGAAATGTACATATCTCATTGTAAGATTTGAAGTTAGTGTTGAGAAACTAGGTAAAATATTTGCCTATTTATATGCTTTACATATTCATATGCAATAATTATTAATGTCCATAATCCAATGGAATAATTGGATCAGGAGATGAAGCTTTCGACTAGCAAACCAATAATATAATAATTATAGGCCTTATCGCGTCTTCTAGACGTCTCAAAGCGCTTCACAAAATACACTGCAAACAACAACAAAATTAGATTTGTATAGCGCCTTTCACGTCAGGAGGACGTCCCAAGGTGCTGGACAGACAAGAGTTACAGACCCGAGCTGAGGGTCGGGGTGGGGGAGGGCGGAAGGCAGCGGGGAGAAGCAGGGAGATTGAAAGCACGGTCGAAGAGGACGGTCCTAAGGTGGATCTTGAAAGTGGCGAGGGAGGGGGCGGACAAAGACTGTGGGATTGAGTTCCAGAGGTGTGTAGAGCAAGAAAGCTTGCCTAAGAGTTTTGGCTGCTGGGAATCAAAGCCAGATCCTCTCCAAAGCAAATGCTCCAACCACTTGGAAGCAAAGGACTCCGAATTTTTGTATAAAATTACTGGCTGTACTCATTGCAGCTACGCTTGCAACCAAAGAATCCAATATGGAACGTAGATTGACACACAGATAAACACACATTTCATCTTTATACTCATCTGGGAGGACTTCTGTGGAGGACTCCTTTTGGGAGGACTCGGCGCTTTAAAAATGTAATTTTGCTGTTGTTGCCGCGACTTATTTTCGTCTGTGCTCTTAATTTTGTTCCCGCCACTTGGCTACGTGCGTGCGCTGTGATGCAAAATGCCACAGCAACATGGTCAGCCGGCCCGGCTACCAGGTGTAACTGAAGTGTGTGCATACATACATAGGTGCACTGACGCATGATGTCATAGCACCACTTTGAGTCAGCGGCCACCAGGTGTAACTGCAGTGAAAAATGCAAAATTGAAAATAACTCACGAACGATAGGAGATACCCAAAATCAATTATGCCCATGTCACTCTGAGATGCAAGACCTTTCCAATGAGGTATAAATCATATCTCTACGTCAATTGGTTATTGAGATCCTTCTTGAAGCGCAGACAGACATTGCCATCTTATTAGTATACAAGATAGAAGAAGATAGATAACCAAAAAAATTGCTATAGTGCCAACACTGGCTGAGGAGAGAAAAACTATTCTATTTTTGAAAAAAAGTGGACTTTGACATCAAACTTGCAATACACCTAAACATTTCATTCCTTATTTAAGTTTTGATATTCCTCTCTCTCACCACCCCTCACACCAAAATCTGAATAATGCTAGTGTCCATATTCACCAAGCATTGCAATATTTGCTTTCTATGCCATGTCCTAAAAAGAATGAATGTTGCAGACAAAGCATTTGCTGGTTCAAAAATTCACTGGATAAATAACCACTATTCTACAATTATGAAATGATAGTCAACTTCATAAGTAAAGCTAGTTTTTAATGAATGGATCTTAATTTTTTATGAAAATAGATTTCACTATTCCAAGTTTTCTATGTACTCGCAAAACTGGTCAAGTAATTTTAAAAATTGCATTGCAGACTATGGTTTGACTGCTTTTAATTTTTCAAGATGAAGGAATTCAAAAGAGTTTGCAAAGTGGCAAAGATGTTATTTTATCCCAAATACTCAAGAAACAGATCCAAATTTAGTCACATTTTTATTATAGAATGGCCTCACCAATAAGTACTGCTCAACTCTCAGCGGTATAAAATTCCAGTTTACATTACATCAGGTGCAAACTGTCAAATATTGAGTCACCTGGAAGGCATGTTCATAACATAAACATCTGAGCACTTTGTGATCTCTGGAGAACATTTAGACAGGCCGGTAGTGAAAAAAAAGGAAAATAATGTTAGCATATGCAATTAGACTACTGCCCTCTCTGGTGATAATGAGAAAAATTCTTCTGGTG